CTCTAGAGAGATGACCAAAGTAAAATGGTCACGTCATCGTTTTTTTATATCTAATTTTGGGTTTTGTAAAAAAAAAAAAACGTAACACGGTTTGCACGTGTATCACGAAACCAGAACAACAAAACTCCTCCAAACGGAGATCTGTTTAGAACATTTGGGTTCTTCACCCTACCACAGGGGGGGGGGGCAGCGATCAGGAGCAGCAGATTAACGGAAAAGGGAAAGAAAATGAAGAGAGGGAGGGGGAGGGGGCGGAGTAATATGAACACACAAAGCTAAAATACAAGAACATAAACACGATGTCCAGAATCGACTATTCTTGTTCCCACCTAGGAGCAACGATCACCAGTCTCCCGCGTTAATGTTTCCCGCGCCCGAGATCGGCCACGGGCACCGTTTCAATCTGGACGATTCACTCGAGTTAATGGTCACAAACGACCTCGGTGAGTATTTAGTTCATAATCGCTTCAGTTCCGTGTCTTAATCATCGCAGAGCCCTAGTCTATAGACTCCACTCTCAAACGACAACAAATTCAGACACATTCAGAGCGCGTGGGGGGCAGGGGCGTATTAATGGATTCGAGGCAGGGCGTATTGGCCGCTCTGTTAATTAACGAGCGGCAGTGGGGGAGCCGGTGTAAAGCACAGGACAAAGCGGTCAGTGTTTGCCTGGGATGCGTGAGAGTTTGTGGAAAGAGACAAAGAGGGCAGAATACTAACTAGCGGAGAGCGCGAGCAACACAGTTGGCGAGCGAACCGCCCCTGCAACATCGGGGTTTTTTTTGGGGGAAGGGGGGAGAGAGTTAGTGACATCATAATTTAGTTCGATCGATTTCATTACAGCACTTGCGTGTGTCCCAATTGCGTCACGATACAACAACAAAAACTAACTGTGGGTTTTTGTTGTTGTTCGTGTGTTTATTTGTTTACACATCAGAAACACGTAGACTCACCAATTAATTCCCGAGCCGTAGTAAAAAAAAAAAACTGACGGTTTAAATACTGACTCAGTCCGTAGGTATCCTGTCATCTTCTCTGCGTCAATGAAATCAGTCCCATTTTTATTTTTTCGTGGAAGCTAAAACAGAGGGACGGGTCTCCATCATGTGAATGCGACATCTCTCCCACTGACTTGCATAGCCACCAACGTGCGTGTGCGTACCGCTTGTTTAGACAGGGGGTAGTCACGTAGGTAAATAATAAAATAAAAATTGAAAATAGCAAAATTTCATTTCTTATTATTTTATTATTATAATTGGTTTTTACCCTTCTATCTGGCAACAAAACTGATACCTTTGTTACAAGGAGTCATGTTTGCATAGACCACAATACCTGCAGCCATAATGCAAACAAAAAACATAACTCTGATAATGTATGCACTTTCCTTGAAGTTGATTGGTCCACACCCGAGACAGCTTTCCTTAGAGCATAGTCTCACATGGGTTGCACCAGATGACGCCAAAAGGCGCACAACTCAAAGACAATGCACCATCAGAGTATGAGAACACGGAGTAAGCATTTACACCATTGGCACCTCATTTGTCAGTAAAAAATATGATAATAGGTGTCAGTTTTGTTGCCAGATAGAAGGGTAAAAAAACAATTATCATATGTTTTACTGGCAAATGAGGTTCCAATGGTATTTTATTATTATTATTTTTACCGACTGTGACTTTACCGAAAAAGCCTAAGAGTATGAATCCTTGCAGTCACGAAAGCTTCAAATCTAGAATTAAGTCCTGCAATTGCTTGTACACGCCCCTGCTGGCAGAAGGGCCTTCACGACAAGTGGGTTCTAGAGAGGCCCCTCTGGAGGGTTTTTGGCCTACTTTTCCAAGACTGTCCCAGGCGTCTTGGACGTGGATGGGAAGCACCCACAAGGGACCCCACCACACGCGGACCTGCCGGTCGACGAGCCGCGCCGTGCCGATTTATGCTGCTGGGCGCACAGGGGGTGGAGATTTCAGCAACTTGCTCCGTTGTTTCCGGGGTATCGAACCGGGAACCTCTGGCTTCAGCATCGTTTCTATTTCGCCAACAATTACACCACGGGAGGATGCCTTTGCTGTCGAGTCATGGAATGTAAAATAGCTTTACACATTGATCCGAGGTAAAAAAAAAAACTGTTCAAAATTATTATTTTGAGAGCCGATTTGCTCTCGTTTAGGAATATATTTGTTTTTTTGTTCAAATATCTCAATGCACGTTTCCCTGGTTTACGAACTCTACGATGTGCTTATTTGCATTGACTACTTTAACTTGACCCTTGACTCACTCGATCATCAGGGAATCACTTTGACGGCACTATTGGCCATCATCCGCCACTTCACGCACTATTTTCTTAACTGCATCATGTGCTGCTAAAACTTAATCCAGTATATTGCACAAGTGACCATTTCGAAACTCAGAGTACTGAACATCTTTCCTCCTATCCCGTACCTCTGATTAGCACGGTTGGCTAGGTATGGCGCGAAAGAAGTTGATAATACATGTACATATTATTTTAGTGAACATCTATCCACTGCTGGATGAAGGTATTACAATGCCATTCTCATGCATCATGGGTCATGCGAAGCCAGACTGTATCTCACTCCTGCGCACATTATATTTGGCATAGGTCAAACGTTCAAATGTCTCACCTTTAAAAAAATAATAATAGAAGCCAGTCCTCACTTTTCACCTCCATTGGCTTCCCTGAGCCGGCGTTGGAATTTCCACATGGATCTGATAGGGACCAGTCTCTCCTTAAGGCCACCGACTGTTGATATCTGTGTGCACAGGCTACAAGCGTGGGACGATTAGTGTTACATGGCAATGTAAATACGTGTCTTGACCTTCCAAAGTGCTTCTCAGCTAGCTGTCCCGTCCGGGTTAACTATTCTAACTTAGCTCAGGACTCCAGCTGTAACATCCACGTTTTGCCGTGACGCTGCATTGGGAATTAACACAATTACAAAGATATCCCGTATAGCCTTCACGTACTGTTGGGGCAAGTGCTGTTTGCGAGCACCTATGAGGGCCGGCACGGCACACGAGTGGGTGGGTGGCCAGCACCACGCCCGACCACCGCCTTCGCCTCCCCAAGTGGCGATGTTTACACATCGCACATCTGGTACTTCTTCGAGGCTGAGTCGACCTAGGGGAGGTCCGGGACCAGTCTCACCACTGGTTACCACGAGCGGCAATCGAACTCGTGAAACAACGCGCACGAAGGCACAACAACGTCAAAGACCCCCCCCACCACTGCCGGCCAACTCCCCCCATCGCGGGCCCGCCGAGGCCAAGTGCCACTCCATCCACGCACGTGAGTGCAATTGTGGTAGCAGTGGTCGTAGCATCGTCGCTCTCGCACGTGTAAAGCGACAACGGCGGACTCGCTCCCCGTAGCCGTGCGCTCATCCGTCCATCCCACCAAGCGCTCATCCGTCCGTCCGTCCCACCCAGCACCCATCCGTCCGTCCCACCCAGCACGCATCCGTCCGTCCCACCCAGAACCCATCCGTCCGTCCCACCCAGCACGCATCCGTCCGTCCCACCCAGCACCCATCCGTCCGTCCCACCCAGCACGCATCCGTTCGTTCCACCCAGCACCCATCCGTCCGTCCGTCCCACACAGCGCCCATCCATCCGTCCGTCCCACCCAGCACCCATCCGTCCGTCCCACACAGCACCCGTCCGTCCGTCCCACCCAGCACCCATCCATCCGTCCGTCCCACCCAGCACCCATCCGTCCGTCCCACCCAGCACCCATCCGTCCGTGCCACCCAGCACCCATCCATCCGTCCGTCCCACACAGCACCCATCCGTCCGTCCGTCCCACCCAGCACCCATCCGTCCGTCCGTCCCACCCAGCACCCATCCGTCCGTCCGTCCCACCCAGCACCCATCCGTCCGTCCCACCCAGCACCCATCCATCCGTCCCACCCAGCACCCATCCATCGGTCCGTCCCACCCAGCACCCATCCGTCCGTCCCACCCAGCATCCATCCATCCGTCCGTCCCACACAGCACCCATCCGTCCGTCCGTCCCACCCAGCACCCATCCGTCCGTCCCACCCAGCATCCATCCATCCGTCCGTCCCACACAGCACCCATCCGTCCGTCCGTCCCACCCAGCACCCATCCGTCCGTCCGTCCCACCCAGCACCCATCCGTCCGTCCCACCCAGCATCCATCCATCCGTCCGTCCCACACAGCACCCATCCGTCCGTCCGTCCCACCCAGCACCCATCCGTCCGTCCCACCCAGCATCCATCCATCCGTCCGTCCCACCCAGCACCCATCCGTCCGTCCGTCCCACCCAGCACCCATCCGTCCGTCCGTCCCACCCAGCACCCATCCGTCCGTCCGTCCCACCCAGCACCCCAGTGCGGCGTTTGTGCCGCTCTCTCCGTCGGCCTTGGAACGTTCCTGGCAGCAGCGGCGTTCCTCATTCGGAGGCAAAAACGGCGTTCAAATCCCCCCCCACCCCGCCTCGAGACGCGCGTTCTAATCTCCCAACTTTGCTCTCGGCCCCCTATCAATGAAGTCGCCCTACCTGCTGGTGAACGGAGGCGGGCGAGCGGGAGCATCAATTAATGACTCTCTTTGCCCGATGCGCAACGCTTTTGAGCACCTTTGCAGAAAGGCGCTTCGCGATTTGACAATTTACAAACACACCGGCAGCTATTTACCCCTTGCACGCGTAAAGAGACACCGCCAACTCGCTGGGGGTTGCCACCACCACCCCACCACCACCACCACACCACCACCACCGCCACTACGAGGCGAGCAGATTTCGTTCTCAGGCGGTGGCAGCAGCCGCGGCGGTGAGGAGGAGGCGGCGGTGAAAACGTCGGGGGCAAAGCGGAGCGCGTGTGGGGGGACGCCTGGGTGGGGACGGGATGTGATTGTGCGGGAGGGGTAGTGGTGGTGGGGGGTGGTGGGGGGTGGTTTGTGGTGTGTGAGGAACAGGGCTGTGAAGCGCCGGCTCGACCCCAGCCCTAATTAACTCGGTCAAGCCGGCCACGTCGGTTGAACCGCGCGCGCCCGATCTCGCTTACAAGGAGGTCTGACTGTCGTCTTCCTCGTGGCCTTTTTGGTTTGTTTTTGCTGCTGCTGCCCGGATCCCCTTGCTCCGGTCGCACGGAAGGTGAGGGGTGGACCTGTCGCCAATTCCACCGCACGCGCGTTCACGTGCGTGCGTGCGTGTGTGTTCGTGCGTGTGCATGCGTGCGTGTTCGTGCGTGTGTGTGTTCGTGCGTGTGTGTTTGTGCGTGTTCGCGTGTGTGTGTTCACGTGCGTGCGTGCGTGTGTGTTCGCGTGTGTGTGTGTGTTCGTGCGTGTTCGCGTGTGTGTTCGTGCGTGTGTGTTCGTGCGTGTTCGCGTGCGTGTGTTCGCGTGTGTGTGTTCGTGTGGGGAGCGGTTGTGTAGCAGTTAGCGCACTGCGCTTCGAACCCAGCGACCCGGGTTCGATTCCCGCTCACGGCCAACAACACCGGCGACGATTATCTGAGCCGGCTCCTGGGTCTCCCCTAGGTCGACTCAGCCTCAAATGAGTACCTGGTGCGGTGCGTAAAACATCGCCACTGGGGAGACAAAGGCGGCCGGGCGTGGTGCTGGCCACCCACCCCCGCGTGTGCCGAGCCTGCCTTCATAGGCGCACGCTAACAGCACTTGCCCCAGCCGCCTGTTAAGGCTACACGGGGGATATTTTGTCTTTGTTCATGCGCGCGCGCGTGCGTGCGTGCGCGTGCGTGCGTGCGCGTGCATGTTCGTACTTCAACTCATGCCACTTCGCACTGCGCACGTTTCACTCTCGCTGCCTCCCCACCGTCACCTCGCACTGTCGCCTCGTCCCTCGAGTCCACAGTTCGATGCTCTGCCCATGCGCAGTTTTATCGAGAGGACTTTGCGTGTGTGCGTGCGTCTCTGTGTGTGTGTTGTTGTCTTGGTGTGATCCTGCACTGTTGTTTTTGCTAACTTTCCCAAGCTTGGAGATTGATGTACGAATGCAATTTGAACTTATATGCTGTATTTCGATTTAAAGCTTTCGTGACTGCAGGGATTCATCTTCTTGGTTCTTTCGGTAAAGTCACGTAGAATGGAAATAATAAAATAATAAAAATAAAACATAATAAAAGAAAAAAATATTTTATTATGTTTTACTTTTATAATTTTATTATTTCCATTCTACGTCACTTTACCGAAAGAACCAAGAAGATTATATGCTGTATTTATTTGCTTAAGGGGCACCACGGTGGTGAGATGTTCTCTTCCTCGCCGGTATGCAAGGAGGTCGTGGGTTCGATCCCGACCCTGACGTCTGCTGTATATTGGAAGTCTGCGTGTCTCTCGCTCTCTCCCCGTGGTCGCGTGGATTTTTTTCTCCGGGTCCTCCGGTTTTTTCCTTCCACATTTAGAATCAACGGCACGCGTTTAGAGTATTTTGCTGCTATACATTTCCACTTGATAAGCCCATTTTGTTGAGCTATCATTGGTAGCCAGGCCGATTCTGCAAAATAAACTAATACCTCAATGGGCTTTATCTGGTTAGATTAAAAAGAAAAGTTTAGTTTTATTTGTATATATTTTTTGCGATGTGTTTACCTTTGCTATACTTTGCACTCCTATCGTTGTTTTTAATTTTCTGTTGTTATAATGTCCGTACCCGCCCCGACTGAATGTTTGTGCAAAAAGAGCTTTCTAGCTGATCGGATTACTCCAGTGTGAATACAGATTCTGACTTTAGAACGGAGCTCACCTCGCCTCTCACTCACGACACCAACTCACACCTCTCTCGCCTCCTTTCCCAACGACTGCGATGTCTCGCTTCACAGCGACTTGTAACTTTGATACTGACCTGTGCATCGATAGCTCAATGTTACTGTGCCATTGTGTTGTGAGATCACTCCTGTGCGGTGTTGTCTTGGTGTTGTTTTACAAACTGCTTGTCGTTGTTTCTACTCACGTAATTAAAATGTAGTATTTATTTTGTCACTTGCTCACGTTATTATCTCCGTTGAACTCCTATCGTTTTGTGTATTGATGGCTCTTGTCACTTTTGCTGACCGGACATCTGTGAAAAAGAGCGTCATAGCTCATCGGATTCCTCCAGTCTAAATGAAGATTCTGATTGTGCGTGTGATGTGCACGCGCAGTAACCTGGATTCTATTATGCATGCCCATGTTTGCATTCAAATGTGTGTTAAGTATGTGCTTGTGAACGGTGCGTTCATATATATATTTACGCCGTAGGCGAGTGCATGTGTTCTCACGTAAATTGTACTTGTTGTCATGCTCATATGTATATGTAAGGAACAGAAGTGCTTACTATGTGGGGTTACTACTACTCCTGTGCATTCCTGTTTATACTCAGCATACTGCAGACACGATTGGTGCGCAGTGCACGCTACACATAGTTATCGTCATGTACAGATGCCTCTACAATATATCTATCTTAGTGAATACACACGGACGTATAGCCTTATGTAAATGTCATAAACAACGTGTTTTGTGCCGTATCTGCATAATATATATCCCTCGTGAATATTGTGTATTCCCTTTGCTAAATTATTGCTTACATCAATAACAACAAACAACGCCATCACACCGCTGTCTGTGGTTAACCTCGTCACAGCAGCACCCTAAACCGCATCTGCAACAAACAAAAAACCGTGGCAGGTGCGGATACCTGATGCACAAATAGAAGATGAAAAGCTCTCGAGCAGCGTGCGACTGTGGCCATCCAGGACACCCAGTACAACATGTAACGACGCAATGCCCCCGTCCACAAATACGATGGAGGCGTCGAAGCGAAGACGCAGACGACGACAAACTCCACTACTGCTCCTGACGCCGTTATCCGGCTTGAGCACGTGAATGTGACATTGTAAGTCGTCGCTCTGCGTCTACATCGGCCGCGCAGGAGAAGTTGAAGAGGCCATTGCCTCTTCAACTTCTCCTGCGACTCCACGTGCCGTGATCTGGCGCGGAGCTATTGCTAGGAGTCGGTCGGAATCCGTGGTGCCGATTGTGTTGTTTTACGCACCACTACAGGCACTACTGCCGTTGTCTTCATCCCTCCGCTCAGTCACTCAGCACGTGTACTCCGACTTCCACTCCAAGTACAGGCATTTCATTAGATCAGTCGAGCCTCTCTGTTGTTTTGTCGTGTGTGTGTGTGTAAGTGCGCATGACTGGTATTCAAATTAATTTCGGCTATCTTAAATAGTCCCCCCGAAGGCAATCCTCTGATTGAGATCACGGTGCAAGCGTTTGTTTATTTTCATATCACATCATCCTGCCTTTGAAGTGTTTTTTTTTATTATTACGGTAATGGTAGCTGTTTCTCTTTAGTATTATTATTATTTATTATCAGTATTACTGATTTTGGTTGCAACGCACGCACGCCTGTGAGCCAGTGACTAGTAGATGGGGATTGGCGGCTGATAGGGAGACAATTCCTGCATGAGACACCTACCTTGAGTGCCATGGGGTTTCCGTAGGAGGTTAGTGACCAAGTAGGTTTCAGATTTAACCGTGTGGGGATTCTTGACCCGTTTCCGAGATGTCGTTCAAGTTGCGCGGTGTGGGTGTCCCGTTCACCGCTGAATCTCAGAACGTACAAGCAGCTCAGCGTTCATTTTATTTAGGGAGGCATAGCGCCGTTGTTTTGAAAGACATTATACTCACCGCAGAGAACCATAGCGACACGACCACGCTCTATGATAGTGCACTCCAAACTGTGCCACACGCCCTCCCGCATGGCCTTGTCACAGCCTCGGTATGTCTTCCCGCCTAAAGAATAAAGGGGTTAGAGACAAAATTTACATGTCAATGAGTAGAACAAAAAAAAGTGAGCAGGCTTAGGGGGAGAAAGAAACACACTAAAATTAAATAAAATAATAAAAATAAAACATTATAAAACAATTCTCACGACGTTTCGGCCACAACGCAAGCAGCCGTCCTCAGGCGAAGAATGAAGCACCACCAAACTTGGAGCGTATATTTAAGCTGGGTTAGAGGGGGGGGAGGTGGGAAGAAGAGCGCCTAAACATTCCGATGACGTACATCATCGGATGTCGTACACATATGTGTGTCATCGGAATAGGAAAGGGTTAATGTGTGCTGCAATGAACACGAGGCAATACGAATCTCTGGGCCAGTGATCGAACATTCCACATCGCTGTGACGTGAGCCGGTGTTTACTGCCTACAAATGATGGTGCTCGTGTTGTCAACCTGAAGGAGTAAATGGGTTGAGTCAACCCACAACCTGGATGGGAATTGGCAACATCCCTGCTGCCTGTCAAAGTGAAAATGTATACAGAACAATGGAATTGGGAGAGAAAAAAACATCCCAAAGAGTGATCATCCTGAAAAAAAGATTCATGAGACTCAGTGAGTTTTTTTTTTCCCTGAGTGAGCCCTACACAGTACTTTATTCAATATTATTTTACTCAAATAATCTCACAATTTCTCCACATACGCTGGGAAAAATCACAATAATGATCATTTGGTTCTGGACTGTTCCCCATTGCTGAAACATTCATCAGTGAGTTAGTGCCAGCGGTCATTGCCGCACAAAGGCAGGGAGACATATTGGTTCTTCATCGACACTTAGATTGCCAAACAGTCAGTAGTCACATTCAAGGGTAAATTTAATGCATAAGTGTGGCCTCAAATCAATGACTGCAGTTAGTATTAAGGCTGTTTAATTGTTGGCTTATGGGAGGGCTGGTTTCTTTGTGGGGTCGAGATCAATGGGTGGGGAAAAATAGCTGGGTGAGATGAATGGCTTTTCTCTCACTACCTTTGTGTGCTTCTGGAGTGGTATGCGATTAGATGTAGACCCATTTGTTTCAGCTATAGTTGCCTTTGTACTCCAGTGAGCGCCGGAAAGTGCTCCTAATGCTCGCGAACGCCCTCACGTTTTGTGTTGCCTCTGCGGTGAGCTTAGAAAGTTTGTAAAAAAAAAAAGTTTAGCGGCGATAATTGCGCGTACAAAACTTAGTCAAAAAATACGCCGTATCTTTTGAAAGCTCTGTTTGCATGCATGTTAATTAGGATGGTGCTGGGTGAATAATAATGTATCAATGACTTTGGTTTGTCTGAACTCTAAACTGGTGGGTGCTGCGGTTTGAGCAATTCC